TGCACTGACTATGAACGTTTCATTTAAACTATGGGAAGCACATATAGCAAAATGGTCCAACCATACACTATCTAATCAGAGACAACTTCCTTTTTTAAGATTGCTTTTTCCCTTGAGCTAGTAGAGCCATGATTTTAAAAAACAGTTGGCTACCTTTGCAGTAGTTGGTAAGATTATTTTTATAATTGTTTTAAGAATATTTCAAGGCTACATTGGGTTTTTTAATGTTTCCATGATACAGTAGAAGTATGAGAAAAATGGTAGAAATTTCTTCAGAATGGTTCATTCAAACAATGTAAAACCTTTACAAATCCCTGCTTTGAACCAAGACAAAAAAGTTTGTGCATCATTTGTTGTAGACTGTCGCCACCTGGTGGACTGAGACAGGGGTACTAGCGGCAGTGTCTTAAGGTGGAAATTTTCATTGCCAGAAAATCCTATTCATAATTAAAGTTACATCTAATAATTGTAGACAATACCAAGCATAAGTTCAGCAAAATCTTTTCTGCCAAATAATTGCACAGATTACACTGAAAAGATATATTCAATTACAAAATATGTCAGGATATTTCATTTCTAAATTCCCAGTTTGACCCTGCCTGTGTCATCTTGGGACTTGTTTCCACATTTGTAAAACCAAAAAGTTGGGTTACTCAAATCATAATCTTCTAAACTTTCCAAACACTTTGAGGGAACAAAAATATTAAGTCAAAGTACAATTGAAAAGAATTTTTCTGCTGTCAACCTTTGTGCTTTTCTCTGGAAACAGAAGTTGCGTAATGGATGTGCATTGGGTTACTTTTATGTATTTGAAACAGAATGACAAAGAGGGAAGGCTGTCAGTGGATCCTCAAGGGCCGGGCTGAAGCCAAAGAAGGGAGTTCCCTGCACATCTCCCATGTGAGCAGCAAAAACTGAAGAGTGTGGAGCCCACCTACTTCCTCTAAGATGTGCATTAGTAGGAGGTGGGGGGATGGCTCAAGGCTGGGCTTTCAATGCAGGAAGTGGGGGGGGGGGTCTCAAGTGGAAACTTAATACACTATCCCACAACTGGCTGCCACTGAAACCAATGTTTCTATTTTCTCATTTACAATAAATTAAAATATCCATTTTTCCAAGACTACTCTATGAACATATGTTTCCCAAAGTGGCACTAATGACAAACAGCTTTTTCTATTTCTAACTGGTAAATCCTATAGCACGGAAATATGAATTAAAAGGCTGTCATGGTTATGAACTACTCTCCTTAGTAGTTTCTGTGGACAGTATTACCAATGAGACAATCTATTAGTTCGTGTTGATTGTCAGATCTTATTTCATGGCTCCTTCTTGAATGTTTGCTTCGGTTCAGAAATCTTGAGAATTATGCAGTATTGTGTCTAACACATGAATCAGTGAAACAAGGAAAAACACAAAAGATGCAAGCACACGTTGATACATGAGTGTTCACCTCTTTCATTCAAAAATGCACAAATCCTTTTCTCTTATCAGGTAGCCCTTCTCTTCAGAGCAAACAAGAAAACTTTCAAAACACTTTCAAAACGTGTCTAAAATTGCTCATGGTGGGAATAGATATTAAATGATTAGATTAACTTTGATAATCCGCATACCTGATGAAAGTATTAACCCATAATGCTGAACATACTAAGATTAGTGTATATATAACCCATTAATACACTATAAAAACAAAATCAGAGCTATGCGGGGCAGAAGCCACAACAATATGCAGTCCTCTGACTGCAGACCGAAATGAAGAACCACCCATCACCTATGGATGGGAGTGTAAAAGGAACTACACGAATCCAACACCACATGTCACTCCTACAAAGGCTGTGCACAAATACCGTTGCTCCGGTTTTATTGCTACATTCAGATGTTTTCTATCATATGTTTTCTATCTATGTTTTGCTGAGAAACAAACTTGTATGTTACCTGTTTACATAACACCAACAATGCTTGAAGATTGCTGATCTTAGAAAAAAAATGTGAGTGGATTAAATGTTCTTCTGAGCATGGATGGAGTTTTTCACTTTCATGCTGGCAATTCCTCCCCCCGCGTCTCTGTTGAAGCGATTAAAAAGGAATCATTTCCCAGAAGTACAGGTGCACAACAGATTGGAGTCATTATGCAAAAGAACAGAATTCTGGAGAGAAACCCAGAGGGAAAAGAAAAGCCATGTTCCTGGCCACACTATTGGCTGTAACTCATTTTTTTTTTCAGTTCTACATGAGAGATGAAAAAAAAAAATAGTGGATTTGAAGTAACCCATTCAAGATAACCAATGTACGCCTTGAATTCAACACACTTCTAACAACACAAGGGAGGCAGAAATGTACTAACGGCCAAACACACATTAATACATTTTAAAAGCTTGAGGTTCTTTACAGAAGCTGACACAGTGGAATATATTCCTTTAAAAAAATTTATTCGTAAGCTATATATTTTCTGCTGGCTTTTGAAATTCCCTTTGGACCCCTTTCAAGGGAATCACACTTACCTTCACAGCCTTGGTGAGCAATCAGATACCTGAACCCCTCCTGGCAAATCCCATCAAGGGTCCCAAATACGGATCACCACATACACTTTCTGAGTCCTAAGTCAGGTTTTGAAAATGCAGTGATGGCTTTCCCATCAGGATTTTATGACTGCAAGGTCAATGCCTCCTGAAACCTAAAATGACTTTTCTCAAACTATCAGTTTTCTGGCTAGAACGTTAAAAGGGAAGGAAATGTCACACACAAACAGAACACTGAAGTTCCTCTGATAAATGAAGAGCCATCAAGGAAGTTGGGTATCTTTAGACATTTGAAAAAGCCCACTTGGGCAGAGTATTAACCATTTCAAAGAGAAAGGAGCCTTAGACTGTACCATGAAGTTGGAGGAGGGGCCGACTATCCGCCTTCAACCTGCAAGGGAAATTGAATGGGATGGGAGATGGAAACAAAGGAAAGACTGAGTGAAGCTATCAAAATGTTAGAATAGTGGGGAAAGGAAAAGAACGAAGAAAAGGTGAAAACCAGGCATGCAAATAGCAAAAGCTGTTGTTTAAGCACGTAAAGTCCTGGACGGATCATCCAACTTGCAACCGGGAGAATGATCTTAGGAAATCAAACCAACATTTAAGTAAGTCTTCACTTTGAGCTGTGTGAGGCACGTGCGCTTCTCGTTTACTTTTCCCTGACCTGCTTCCTCGTGGGATCTTGTGGGAAGTGTAGGAAAGGTTTTTTTTTGGGGGGGGGGGGCGTGTTTCTGGAGTACACTCTAGACGGTCCAGAGGAAGGCCGAATTGCGAAGCGTCTCCCAGCATTAAGTCCGGAAGAGGGACTTGTTGGGAAGCTCTGGAAGGGCCTCACGTGGCGCAGGCGGACAAACTTTGTGAAGTTGTGAAGAGACGCGTAAAAAGAGGCCAAAAGGCTTGGGGCGCGTCTGTGGATGCGGCGCGGGACGGGAGCGCAGGATGGTGCGATGCTCCGGGGACCTGGGCGGCCACTCTCACCATTGTCCCGGACGCTTTCCGCCCCGGAGGGCATTGTGAAAAGTTTCCTGCCTGTGGGTCACGCAGCCCCTCCCTGCAGGCCTGCCTTAGGGACGTGGAGGTGGAAGGCTCAGCCTAGGTCGCTTTCGTGACTTGTGGCCTTTTTCCCTTTCTGGTAGGAAGAGAAAGGAGGGGTCGGGGTAGGAAATCGCTTTCCTCAAATCCCTGCGGCTCACTTTCTCCCTGAAGCGCACGCCCCAGGGCCCTGAGTGCGGAGAGGAGGGTGGGGAGGGGTGTTCTTTGGGGCTCCCCGCTGCAGCTACGTTTCTGGCACTGGGGCCTGGGGCCTGCAGTCCTGGGAGGTGGGAGCGTGGTCCCTCGGGCGAGATTGGATGAGTTCCCCAGAGGGAACGGGAAAGCGCATAGAGGTCCTTAGTCTCCAGGGAGACGATCACGGTTCCAGATCGTTTATTCCCGAAATCTGAACCTGGGCAAGTCTCTGGGAAGCGGAGGAGAGGGGGGGTTGAAGGTCAGTGTAAATGTGCTTTTGGAGATCCGGAGCTGGGGAAGTGCCCCTTTGGCCCCCTCCTCCGGGCATAATTACCAGGGGGAAGGACAGGGCCAATCAGCTCTCTCCGGGAAGAGCTGGGGCCAGGGTAGAGCAAGCATGCTGCAGCACACGGAGATGAGAGGTCGGGCGGGGTATTTTTCTAGTAAGGGCAGCCCTGGCGTATCTCCCAGTCTAGGAAAGACGGGCTGCTGGGAGAGGAGGGGGAGGGGCGGAGGGACGGTTCCAGCTCAGGGACCTCTTGGAGACAGATCTCCGCTGGCCAGCTCTCCGACCCTCTTTCCCTCGGGCGAACTGCGTTCCCTTACCCAAGGGGCCACAGGAAGGGAGGGCGGTCCTGGAAGCCTGCGCAAGGAGAGGCCCGCCGAAAGGGAGAACCTTCGCATCCGAGCAGTCCCACTGTGCAAAGTACTCGTCATTGCCCCCCCTTGCGTTCTCCCGCCCACTGACTGACGAGTTGTGGCGCCAAGCCAGTGCCGAGGGCGCCCCCTCCCCCGCCAACCCGCAGGGTTTAGCGCTGTTCTTCACCGGCTGAGCTCAGGGGGCGGTGTCTTTAGGCTGGAAAGGCGGCCAAGAGGGAGGAGGGGTTGGGTCTGGGGATTATAAAAGGGCGGCCCGGGCTGCCCGGTTCTTGCACTCGCTGGAAGGCGGTTCCGAGCCAAGGGCTATTGCAAAGCCAGGGCACACAGCCTGGCGGAGAGAACAGAGCCCTGCTCAGCGTGAGCAGCGCCGCGGCCAGCCGAAGCCGAAGAAGGGCGCCAGGCACCGATCCTCGAGGGGCCTCCAGACCCAGAGCCGGCCCTGCTGGTCCTCGAGGCGGCCACTCTGCAAGCGCCCGCCGCGCGGTGCCTCCAATACTGCGCTTGGCAGGAGAACGTCCCACGCGCCGGCAGAACTGCGGCGCCTGGTTCCGGGAGCATCGGCTGCAGCCGGCTCTGAGCGCACTTTCCAAGAGTAATAGTAATTGTTAACTTTACCAATCCAAAGCGAAGCCAGTGAGGCTGTGCTTTCCTGATCCGAACAAAAGTTCTCTTGCTCTGTGCGCTGCAGCGCGCGCGGTATTTCCCGAGGCTACAATGCAGCGAGAAGTCCCAGAGAGGTCCCCAAGGCGCACACTGGGCAGCGCCATGGGCAACGCGGAGCGGGCCCCGCGCTCTCCGAGATCTCAGCCCCCTTCTCCGCGGCTGCTGCTGGCCGCAGCCGTCATGCTGCTAGCAGTGCCGTGCGCGTTCGGGCGCCCAGCAGAGGAGGACGAGGAGCTGGTGCTGCCGGCACTGGATCGCACCCCACCACCCGGGACCACGCGTCTTACTCTGGAAGCCTTTGGCCGGCAGCTGCACCTAGAGCTGCAACCCGACCGCGGCTTCCTGGCGCCTGGCTTCACACTTCAGACAGTGGGGCGCAAACCCGGGTCCGAGGAGCCTGGGCTGGATCCCGCCGGCGACCTGGCCCACTGTTTCTATTCCGGCACCGTCAATGGTGACCCCAGCTCGGCCGCCGCCCTCAGCCTCTGCGAGGGCGTGCGCGGTGCCTTCTACCTGCAGGGCGAGGAGTACATCATTCAACCCGCTCCTGCAACGGCCACCGAGCGCCTCGCCCCAGCCGCCACCACCGAGGAGGAGCCTCCGGCACAGCCACAGTTACATCTCCTGCGACGCAAGCGTCGGGGCGGCGGCGGTGTCAAGTGTGGGGTCGTGGACGAGGAGATCCTGCAGGCAGGAGGCGCGGGGTTGGAGGGAGAGGAGGCCAGGGAGCAGTGGACTCCGGGTGGCCAAGTGTTGCAGCGCGCTGGACAACTGACAGGTAGATGAGCTGCTCCCACTGTTTCCATTCATCCCCCTTTCTACCCTTGTTCTCTGTCCCTGGGGGCGGGGGATGGGGTATGGGGGTCCCGATCGCCGCTGGTGGGCTGCAGAATTTGCACAGGACGCAAATGCAGAGTGGAAAAAAAGTTGTGTAAGGACTGGATTGGCAACTTAGCGTGAGCTAATCAGATCCTGCTAGAAAACTTAATTCCATCCGCCTGAATAATGAATAACTTGGAAAGAATCACAAGTCAGCTATTATCTCCAGACTAAGGCGAAACTTTTCCACCGGGAACTGGGAGGGGAGGAGACCCGACTTCTTACGTATTCCTAGAGCTGGAGCGTGAGCAATTTTTTCCCATCCCTTTTATTCACTTCTTAACGATTTTGTGTGGGTTCTTTAGCCGGGTAGCAACTTTTCGCTGAGTTTTGAAATGCCGGCCTCTGCGCTCTTTCTGCGATAAGAGGAGGACCGAGAAAGTGAAAAAGAAGGAGAAGGCCGTGGTCATCTCGGGATGTGGCCGGTAGCCCGGGATCTCCGCTCAGGGCACTGGTGCCCCCCTGACCTCCTTAAAAGGCTGACGGGGCGGCAGGCTGCTGGGTTCGGCGGCACAGCTTGCTCGGGAGGTCTCCGCCCCGCGCGCTCCGCCTCCGCGGGCGTCCTGCTCCGCCTCTCGGCCTCCGCGCGCTCTCGCGCCGCCACCGGACTGCCCAGGAACACGGCGGGGCGCGGGGCGCCGCGGATCCTTCCCACTACGCATTGCTCCGACCCTGTGCTGCCTGCACTGTTCACCGTCCAGGGCGTTTTTAATTACATCGGGGCCTTTTCCTTCTTTTCACTTGGGGCGCGTATCCCTGCACTTTGGGAGAGCATTTCTGTGGTTACAGCCCCGTGTAGGGGGCACTTATAAGGGGCTTAGGGCTGAGTCAGGAGTTGGGGGTGGGGCGCTTCTCCAAATAATCCTCCGGGGCTGGAGACATGGACGTATTTCCTTGGAGCAGTGAGAATGGGGCAATGGCGGCTGGACATGGTGGGTGGTCTTTGTGCCCGCGATTGGCCAGAGCAGAGCACCCCAGGGACCCTTGGAATGAGAGAGCTGAGCCATGCAGGCTGAGATTCCTTCAGGCCCGGCCCCTTGGCAGCAGCACTGGCCCTGCCTTAAGCTTTCCACGTGGAGCGCGATGATCTCATTCAGGATTTGCGTCCTGGCCTGTGAAAGAGTGAGTCAGAGCTTGCAGCCCGCTGCCCCTGCTCCAGGGCTTTTACTACAGCGGGGAGGAGGAGCGTGTGCAAACCCCTTCCTCAGTGACCTCACCAAGGACAAAGGAAATCCTCTCTCACAGACCAGAATACTTTATTTATAACAAAGTGGGAGGTTTTTTTTTTTTTTTAAATAACATTTTCAGGGGGAAAAAAAGATGCAAATATTTGTTGTTGTTCCGAGGCATATTTTTGTTTTGTTTGTTTTGACTGATGCTGCTTTCCTTGCGTACCCTGGAAAGGTGTCTATTCTTGGAGAAACTGCAGTAGAGCAAAGTGTCTCTCTTGTTTCTTTACAGGAACTGGAAGCGTCAGAAAGAAGCGGTTTGTGTCCAGCCCCCGTTATGTGGAAACCATGCTTGTGGCCGACCAGTCGATGGCAGAGTTCCACGGCAGCGGCCTCAAGCATTACCTCCTCACGCTGTTCTCCGTGGCAGCCAGGTTGTACAAACATCCCAGCATTCGGAATTCAATTAGCCTGGTGGTGGTGAAGATTCTGGTCATCTACGAGGAGCAGAAGGGGCCAGAAGTGACCTCCAATGCCGCCCTCACCCTGCGAAACTTCTGCAGCTGGCAGAAGCAGCACAACCCTCCCAGTGACAGGGACCCGGAACACTATGACACGACGATTCTTTTCACCAGACAGGTGAGGGGCATCTGATGGTACTCAGGCTGTTGGCCTATGAAAGACGCTTCCCCAGGGTTTTTAAAACAAATGAATGAATCAACCTACTTGAGAGCTAAGAACAGAGAGCTGTCAGCCCTGCTGATTCATTCCCTCAGATGCCCACAGCAGCCAGGACCCAACCGAGTCAAAGCCAGGAACCCCTTACTCAAACCACATCTTGCACATGGTGGCCGGTGCTCATACTTGAGCAGGCTCCATGTTAGCAGTCAGCTGGAGTCTAGAGCTGTTGCTGGGTATGGAAGCTAGGCACCCCGATATGTGCTTCAAGCCTCTTAACCAGTGTCTCAACTGCTGTACCGAATGTCCAAACCTTCATCATTGTTCCTGCACTTAAGTTTGTAATGGCTAATATGATGCACCATACTGCTCCCTACCACTTTGGATCAGCTTGACCTTAACAGTTGCATTAGAAAGAATCTTATAGTCTTATCAAGACTTTGTAAGCTCAATGATACTGACAGTCGAGTCTCCAAAACACGCGAGATCAACCAACAGTCGTACAATCCATGTTAATGAGGATGTATGTCTATTCTGTTCCTTGTAGGATCTGTGCGGAGCCCAGACATGTGACACTCTCGGGATGGCTGATGTTGGAACTGTGTGTGATCCGGGCAGAAGCTGCTCAGTCATAGAGGACGATGGTTTACAGGCTGCCTTCACCACAGCTCATGAGTTAGGTATGTCTGTTTCAGAATAAATACTAATTAATCCAACTCATGAACTCAACTTGATTTAAACAAAAAGATTATTAATGACAGAGGGAGAGTCAATAGCTTGTACTGCCATTACAGGTGCACACACATTTGTGGATATTGGAAACGGTAGATGTTTGGAAATACACATGTTTGTTTACAGCTATATAAAGTAGATGTTACATCCAAAATGTACTGCTTTTTAAAAAAAAACATCATTTTGTAATATATGAATTTCTGGTAGGGAAAAAAAATATGGCAAATGGCCTGTATTTTCATGAAGGTTTTGAATTGCTTTGCAGGCCACGTGTTTAACATGCCGCATGATGATGCTAAGCAGTGTGCCAGTCTTAACGGCCCAAGCCGGGATTCCCACATGATGGCATCCATGCTTTCCAACTTGGACCGGAGCCAGCCTTGGTCTCCATGCAGCGCTCACACGATCACGTCATTTCTGGATAACGGCCATGGTGAGAGGCTCAGCTGCTCCCTCTAAACGGCACCCAGCCTTTCACAGAGCTCTTTCCAACTTCACATGCTCTTTTTTCTTTTTGATTTGCCCTCTGCAAAACGACTTTTCACTGTCAAGATCACCAAATAGCCAGATGAAAGATGGCCCTCTGAGTAGCTCCCAAGATCCATTCATTCACATGTTGAGCAGAACAATCATTTCCTGTCATTGTGAGCACAGAAATACTCTCTCGGGAGTAATATCAGAACTAATCTGAATCTGAACCTTTTTGGCATTTTCTACCATCATCTCTTGTGATGCTTTCTGAAACTGCGTTCTACCCCTTGCATGCATTCATTAACTATTTACTAATGTTGATTGGCATTTTCTTCATAGGGGAATGCTTGATGGACAAGCCGCAGAATCCCATCCAGCTCCCATCTGATCTCCCTGGTACTTTGTATGATGCCAACCGGCAGTGCCAGTTTACATTTGGAGAGGAATCCAAGCACTGCCCTGATGCAGCCAGCACGTGCGCCACCTTGTGGTGCACGGGTACCTCGGGCGGTCTGCTGGTGTGCCAAACCAAACACTTCCCATGGGCTGACGGCACCAGCTGCGGGGAAGGGAAGTGGTGTGTCAACGGCAAGTGTGTGAACAAAACCGACAAGAAGCATTTTGATGTGAGTTTTTCTATTGAAACACGTTTGGGTTCCTCTGAAATGGAGGATTAAAAGTAACAATGACACAAAAGATGTGATCCCAGACACTCCCTTGTCCTTTGAGTGGGAATGCAAGTTAGCTGGAACTGATTCTTTGTCCCTTATTTTCCTTCTTTGATCTAGAATTTCCCTTTAGATAATCCTAACACTGGTGGTATGTGTCTGTTTATAGACTCCCGTTCATGGAAGCTGGGGGATCTGGGGACCATGGGGAGACTGTTCCAGAACCTGCGGTGGAGGTGTTCAGTATACCATGAGGGAATGTGACAATCCCGTGCCAAAGAATGGAGGGAAGTACTGTGAGGGCAAGCGAGTCCGCTACAGGTCATGCAACATCGAGGACTGCCCAGACAACAATGGTGAGTAACAGCGGACTGCAGCCTTGAGAGGTGGAGCAAAAAACATGTCCCCAGAAGCTCCAAGGTTCGAAACCGGTCGTGTCATCCTGTCGTTCTCTTTCCAGGAAAAACCTTTAGAGAGGAGCAATGTGAGGCACACAACGAGTTCTCGAAAGCTTCCTTTGGGAGTGGGCCGGCCGTCGAGTGGACGCCCAAGTATGCTGGCGTCTCGCCAAAGGACAGATGCAAGCTTATCTGTCAAGCCAAAGGCATTGGCTACTTCTTTGTTTTGCAGCCCAAGGTACTTTTTCTTTTACCCAAGATCCAAGGCCACAGCTTGTTACATCTTCATGCAAGCTTTGCCATACTTTCTTTGCTCTAAATATTCACATACTCAATTTCAAACTCGAACTGTTTTTCCTTTACATACCTTGGCAATTTCCTGTTTTGAAGTTTGGGTGTCCTTCTATGAACAGCACTGAAACTTAATACTTAAAATTGTTGTAGCCATTTAGCTTACACCAAAGAGTAGCATTTGACAAAGCAGGTGTGACCCAGGGTTCACAGGCAACTCGTAGTTAAGTAAATTATATATTAACACAGCAACTAGTAGTTTTAAGTAATCATTCAGGCATGGTCCAAAGTACATGCTACTGGGCAACCAACAGTGGGATGTGTAAATAAACTCAATCAGCTGAAGCCCTGGGCTCTGATCATTCTTATCTTTGAGAAAGTGGATTGGGCAAGGAGAAACATTTCCTTGTGCTTTATTGCTGAAGGGATAAAACTGGCTCTGAAATACAAAATGAAATCCAACTTGGTCATGATTATCATGTGGTGTTAGCACTGGGTTGGAAATATTCCCAAATTCCAGATTAAACATTGAAGAAATGAATTCTGCAGCACCGGCTATTGCCACATGTTCTAGACACTGCGGCTGTAGCAGTAAACAAATTCACCAACATCTAGATCTCATTCACTTTGGCTACAGAGGAGACAAGCCAACAAACAAATCATCAGAAAATGCCTTTCTTCCCCCTGTAGTCTATACAGGCTACATAAAAAAAGCCAAGAGGACAGTAGAATGTGTGGAGAGTTCTGTTTTCATGACAGAGTTGGGAAAACTCTGAGAAGATAAGCGTTAGGGTCACGAGGTCTCTCCCCTTGCTAGCGTGTAACAGCAGACACTGGCTCTGTTTGCAGGTTGTAGACGGGACTCCCTGTAGTCCAGATTCCACCTCCGTCTGTGTCCAAGGGCAGTGTGTAAAAGCTGGCTGCGATCGCATCATAGACTCCAAAAAGAAGTTTGATAAATGTGGTGTTTGTGGAGGAAATGGATCTACATGCAAGAAAATATCAGGATCCGTTACAAGTGCAAAGTAAGTTTCCTGTTTTGGAGATGTATGGTCCTTTCTATAGATAAGGAGGGAAAAGATATTAGAAACGAGGGGGGGCATCAATTTTAAGTAATGAATTAGCAATGAATGAGAGATCTTTTCATCTGTTTTCCTTCCCCACAGACCTGGATATCATGATATTGTCACCATCCCAACTGGAGCCACAAACATTGAAGTAAAACAGCGAAACCAGAGAGGGTCCAGGAATAACGGCAGCTTTCTTGCCATCAAGGCTGCGGATGGCACGTACATCCTCAATGGCGACTTCACTCTGTCCACTTTAGAGCAAGACATCACGCATAAAGGTGTGGTCTTGCGGTACAGCGGTTCCTCAGCTGCGTTGGAAAGAATCCGCAGCTTCAGTCCTCTCAAAGAGCCCCTCACCATCCAGGTCCTTACCGTGGGCAATGCCCTTCGGCCTAAAATCAAATATACCTATTTCGTGAAGAAGAAGAAGGAGTCCTTTAATGCGATTCCTACTTTTTCAGAATGGGTCATTGAGGAGTGGGGTGAGTGTTCCAAGTCTTGTGGATCAGGTTTGCAGAGGAGACTGGTGGAATGTCGAGACATCCACGGACAGCCTGCTGCTGAGTGTGCGAAGGAAGTGAAGCCAGCCAGCACCAGGCCCTGTGCTGAACTGCCTTGTCCCCACTGGCAGGTGGGGGAGTGGTCGCCATGTTCCAAGACTTGTGGAAAAGGTTACAAAAAGAGAACCTTGCAGTGTCTGTCCCACGACGGAGGGGTGCTCTCTCATGAGAGCTGCGATCCCTTAAAGAAACCTAAGCACTACATAGACTTTTGCACGGTTGCAGAGTGCAGTTAAGCGGGGTCAGTTTTGAGGGAAAGGCAGGGTGGAAGGGGTGATGACAAGGGAATCAAGGGGGCTGGAGGGATCCAATGTAACCTGGTGGTGACCAGTGGGGTGTGTGGATAAGAGAGGGGTGTAGATGCAGGGAGAAAGGAGTTAGATGAGCATAATGCCCTTCCAATTACACGTTTCATAGGCCCGTTCGTGAGGACTGATAATGGCTGAGCAATGATGGATAAATAGCTTGAGGAGGCCCAGGGCATTGTTTTATTATTACTTTTGTTACATCTATTGGAAGTTTGAAAAAAAAAAAAAAAGGAACAGTTGTTAAAATAAGTAAGACGCATCACAACACTTGTTTTTTGGTACTGATTTAATACTGCAACCTGTGAGGCTGGGAGAGGAAAGGTGAAAGTAAGAGGAGATTTTATCCTAAGGCTAGGTTTACTTTACCTCACTAGTGGTAGAGGGACAGAGGAGTGCACAGTCAAGCTGGAAGCCCCCTGCAGCTGCTGGGCTTTCGGACCATGCTCAGTTTTCTCTTGAGAGTTACCATTTCAGCTCATTCAACAAAAAAGGAACCATCATCAATGTGAGATGACTGGAGTGTCTCAGCCTTCAATGCGTGGTCCCATCTCAGTCTGCAGGTGTAGTTCATTTCCAGGAAGAAACAATTCTGTGTGTTTATGAAAGCACATTCAATGTGCAAAGACAAAAAAAGAAAAGAAAAGCAATGTGTTAGATGCTGGCCAAAGGTAGAAGAGACATGCTGAATGACGAATTTGGTACCTCCAGCCTTACTTCTCTCCTTATGTAAGCTTACCTTGCAGATGCGGTCGTGAAAACAACAATTCGTGCGTCTCAATAAAGTCAGTAAGATCAGACAAAAGGGTGGAATGCCAGAAAAAGACTGTGATGTGCAGAGTAGGATCCAGTGGTTGGGGACGTTAAGATTGCTTGTCTCTTGTAGGAAAGCTGCTGAGGGGTAGCGGGTCATTCCCCAGCAGCTAGTTCAACAGTCATATCCTGGAGAATGTCTGTTCAGCTCTTCTACTAAAAGAGAATATGATTTTTTTTCCTTATGTATATAGTAAAATACGTTACTATAAATTCTATGTACTTCATAAGTATTGGTTTGGATGTTCCTTCTAAGAAGGACTATAGTTTGTTAATAAATGCCTATAATAACATATTTATTTTTATACATTTATTTCTAATGATTAAAACTGTTAAGTTATATCGCTTTTGTAAAAGTGCATATAAAATAGAGTATTTATACGATATATGTTACTAGGTATAATAAAAGAACACTTTCTGAATATGTGTGCGTATGTTCTGAAGTGGGAATTTATTCTTGAAAAGGAAATCTGACAATGTAGACTGATTTTGACTAAATTACTCAGAATAAGATTTTGTTGTGTTGTACTACATATTCTTAGTTCATGAAATGATTAAAGAAAAGGAATCTGATACCTTTAATGATAGATGAGGTTATACTTAAGGCATTTAGTAGTATGAAGGTACTTGACAAGTTGGAGAAGGAAAAGGGAACTTTGTATTGCCACAGAAGAAACAAAACTTAATTCGTGAACAGTTTGATCCCAACACTTGTTTTTCATGAGCATTTTCAAGACCTGTTGTATGCATTGAGTTCGAAAGTCTTTGTGCCAACATAAGCTTATCTTTCAATTCTATATTCCATGGAAGTCTTGAAGTATCTCCATATATATCCCATGGTTAGCAAACTTCTGGAAAGAGCTAGCTGATAAAAATCCATACATATCCCTTTATGGATCATCCCATCTTATTCATGGCTGCTCAATTGTGTTGCTATATATGAAAGCAGATTTAAGTAAGACATAAAGGAAGAGCCATGGCTGCATTCCAGTGAAGCTTTAGTTGCAGAAACAGGTGGTGGGCCACATTTGCTCGGCGAGCTCAGTTTGCTGATCCTTAATGTGTGCCATACATTAAGTCAAGGGCAGGGAACATTTTTCCTGTCAAGGGCCATTTGAAAGTTTATAGCCCACCATTCATGGACCACACAAACCTATCAACTCAAAAATGAATTGCCTATAGATTTGTTGGATTTTTATTCCCTCCTGAGGTCACTTTGGCAGGGCCAGGAAAAGTGTTTCCCCATTCCTGCATTAAATGAATTAAAAGTTGATGTTCTGTCTGCCTTCTGAATGTCTATCTCATTTTCAAGTGTATTAATTATAACAGTAAAGTTATGTGAATGTATTTAAGCTATTGAGTAAACAGTGATGGCTCCTAAATTACATTTGGGATGGACAGCACATGGGGAGTCACTCTCTCTGGATGTTTCACTAGCTTGTCAGCAATTCCAGATGTAATTTAGAGAAACCTTGGGACACTTGGCACTCTTTGGGTAGTCTTTTGTAAATCATTAAGTTTTCAATAACAAATGGTGCATCAATGACTTCAAAAGTTCATACTGCCTCCAAAGTAGCTATGTATCTTTTTCAGGAAACAGATCGTTTTCCTAGAAAGCTCATGCAACTAACCACAGTCATTTCTGCTTTTATGAAACCATATGCTCATCCTTTCTTACACCTTTCTTAGAATAACATGTCTCAAGTAGTTTAAAATGTGATAATTTCATATGCAGTTGGCCACATGTAAATTACCCTCTGAGTTACTTGAAGGATTCTTTCCCTATGCAATTGCCCAGAAGTGTCCCAGGAGTTAGGTGCTAAGGTGCAAAGGGTGAGGTTGGAGGAACCACCGGAGTCTCCAGTGACCAGGTCCCAAGCTGCTAGGTTACAGCACTGAAAGGTGGACATGAATTCTCCTCTCCCATTGAGGGAACTATTCCTGATTCCATAGAACTCACTTAAATACAGAATTTGGCGATATAATTTAGTGGCCTGACTTGCACTTTTCTTTAAAGATTTATCTGATTTTTATTGCAAAGGCAGATACACAGAGAGGAGGAGAGACAGAGAGGAAGATCTTCTGACTGCCAATTCACTCCCCAGGTGGCTGAAATGGCAAGAGATAAGATGATCAAAAGCAGAAGCCAGAAGCCTCTTCTGAGTCTCCCACGCGGGTGCAGGGTCCCAAGACTTTGGGCCGTCCTCCACTGCTTTCCTTGGCTGCATGCGAGGAACTAGATAGGAAGCAGTACTACTGGGATTAGAACCAGTGCCCACATGGGATCCTGGCAGTTGCAAGGCGAGAACTTTTAGCTGCTAGTCTACCATGCTGGGCCTCTGACTTGCACTTTGTACCAAAAATGCTTGCTCACAACTTATATTAACACATTGCAGATTCCCACGGTAAGTGGCATAGAAAATACTGGAAAATACACAGACATAAATATACGCATAAGCTCTGGCCCTTGTTTAATATGCTTGCTATTTGAGAGAATTAGATACAAATATCTAGAATGATAAATGATAGCATTAAAAAGTCATTCTTCACATCTTTTCTCCATCATGAGATATTTATTTTTCATTTTTATGAGGCTTAAATTGATCTTACATAGTTCAAGAAAATGACAAGTCTAAATTCAGGACATGAAGAGATTGAACCAGATGAAAATTTTCTCCCATCTGCTCTTAGCCCAAGGAGATGCTCACTGACTTAATTTTTTAAAGATTTATTTATTTTTATTGGAAAGTCAGATATACACAGAGGAAGAGAGACAGAGATCTCTGTTAACTGATTCACTGCCCAATTCTCCCAAGTGGCCACAAGGTCCAGAGCTGCAGGGAGCAGGATTAGAACCGGCGCCCATATGGGATCCAGGTGCAAGCAAGACAAGAACTTTATCTGCTAGGCTACAGTGCCAGGCTCACCCATCTATATCTTAATGTAGGCAGGTTAGTTTAAGATACCCATATAGGCATCCCAAAGAAAATGGTTCACAAAACACTTCCTAGTGCTGTGGGTTGGCACCAGACTTGGGTTTTTTAAGTTGTATCCCACTGCAGTTACAAAGGCAAACTGAGATAAGGCTAAGTATTCAGGACATTCTTTAAGATCTCACCAAGTAACTTCTTCATTTCAATGCTCACTAAGGAAAAAAAAAAAAGAATTCATAGTCTTTGGGACAGAGATTTCACCAACAATTGCAACAGGACTTCTAACTCTTGCTCTTTGTCGTTGAGAAGAAGGCACTACAGTTTCCATGTGATGGAAATAGTGAAAAACAGCCACAAGGTCTTAACCTCATGCCTTTCCAAAAGAAAGGAAGAACGTCACGCAAGTCCTAAGAATGCTGAGCCCACCGAGGGTGCGGAACACGAGCAGTGCAGCCTGGGGAGGCCGTGTGCTCCATCACACACGCGCCTCTGTGACACAAAGGGGCTCATAGAACAGTGACAGCACGGCAAAAACATGAACAAACCTTGGAGGACGAATCTTTCATTCAAAATGTTTCACCAATTATAAATGTTCGTGAAATTTATATTTTACCAACACACAAACATTTGAACAGAAAACATGCTCACTGATACTGGAACATAAGTAAGCATGGAGGTAAACAGATTTAGAAATACTGTTCTTCTTCCCTTACTTGTCTCCGTTTGAGCACCAACATTCTTGGAAATTCCTAACATGGTCTCTGTTCAGTGCGTTCCTGTCTCCACCCTACAGCGATCTAAACCTTTCTTTTCAGCCTCCTTCTATCAGTCACATGACATTTATTTAAGGGTAAGTATTGATAAGGACTTCTTTGCAATTTAGTATTTTTTTGTCAGCTACAACAGTTTATTTTTATTTAGAGTTATTGTTCATTTTTTTAAAATTCTTTTAACACAAGATGTGAATTCCTTTACTTGCTACACCAGGGGAAGAAGTGAGGAGTGGGCCCGGCGCAATAGCATAGTCGTTAAAGTCCTCATCTTGAATGCACCAGGATCCCATATGAACCCCAGTTCTAATCCTGGCAGCCCTGCTTCCCATCCAGCTCCCTGTTTGTTGCCTGGGAAAGCAGTAGAGGATGGCCCAAAGCCTTGGGACCCTGCACCCGCATGGGAGACCCGGAAGAGCTCCTGGCTCTTGGCTTCAGATTGGCTCAGCTCCAGTTGTTGCAGCCACTTGGGAAATGAGCCATCAGATGGAAGATCTTTCTCTCTGTCTCCCCTCCTCTGTGTATATCTGCCTTTCCAATAAAAATAAATAAATCTTCAGGGGGAGATGTGTGACAGACTAAGCTAGGTCTCAGCCCTCACTAAACCATGTGTGAGCTGTATGGGGGTATGGAAGAGCCATGGCTGGGTTGAAACACCCAACAGTAAGAACCAGATTGGGCTGAAGGGCAGTCAGGAAAAGCCACTGTTCCTGCTAGGACAGGAGGTGAACTGAGGAGGGCTGGCTGATGAACCCACTGGTAAGCGTGAGACCTGGCACTGGGGGAGTTTCTGATGGAGAAGCCTAGACAACTTCTCTGGCAGGACACAGTCCCTGCAGGTAAGTGCAAGAAGCACAACAGGAAACAGCCCAGAACAGGCAATGGAAATGATCCCACTGGCATACACTTGGCATGGGTCGGGGGCAGACCAGGCTGAACCTGTTCGCATCACCCGCTGGCAAATCCAAGCACCAGAACAGAGTGTGGGTGAAGCCAGGTTCGGTTGCGACACATACCAGTACACAATAAGTAATGCCAAGGTGAGATGAGCCGTGCCAGATGTGGTTGCAGCGCCCAAACAGCATATGCGATAACTAGGGGGAGGAGGCAAAGCCAGCAGGGGAATGTGGGTTCCCCTGCTGGACAGCTACTTCCATTGGAAAGCGTGAGTAGGGATGGGGGCAGTTCAGACTAGGCAAAGCTACAACACCTGTGGGCCTCACGTGAGCTAGATAAGGGAAGGGCCATAGTGGGCTGACTCTTCCAGCTGGTGCAAGCAAAAATTAGAGTGGGTGAGGGTTGGTTGGGTTTAGCCATAACATTAGCTGGCAGAGGCTGGCACTGGGAGCTAATTCTGTCAAGTCAAATGCCAGAACCACCTGGAGACTGCATAATCTGGCAGTGGGTGTGGCTTAGAAGGGAAATAGTGGGCACCTCCCTCAGGGTTACCACTCTCACTGGACAGCACGAAAACCAGGACGGGGCAGGGGTGGCTAGAGAGAAAGGCACCTGCCAGTAGGTGTACGGGCTGGATAATAGGTTGGTTGGGTTGAACTAGGCTCCAATGTCCAATGACATGTATGAGAGCTAAATGGGATACAGGACAGACTGGACAAGCCTGTGGTACATACTGGCAAGCATGGGAACCAGGGTAGGGGGCAGAACTGGTGGGAGTTATGGGGAGTCACTCCAACTAGGCTGCAGCTCTCACTAGTT